CTTATCCATAAATACATTTTTGATATGGATAAAATAATTTGCTTATGTTGTGACTAGGATTATATTGAATCTACAGATTCAGTTGCGAAGTACTGGCATGACAGAATTCAGTCTTGTTCATAAACATAGAATATTGTCTTTATTTATTTAGTTCTTTGATTTCTTCCACCAGAATATTGTAGTTCATGTTGCCTATAGATCTTGTACGTATTTTGTTAGATTCATACCCGAGTCTTTTAGAGGGGTTAATGTACATGGTATTGTGTTTTATTATTTCAAATTCCAGTTGTTTATTGGCAGTGTACAGGAATGTGATTGACGTTTATGTATTAACCTTGCATCCTGGAACCTTGCTACAATTGTTTATTTGGTTCCAGGGTATTTTATTGTTACCTATTCCTTCAGATTTTCTACTTAGACAATCATATCATCCACCAAGAGAGACATGTGAGTTTTCTTGTTCCCAAACGGTGTACTCTGTATTTTTTTTTTTTAATTTGTGAAGGGAAGGAGGGAGGGAGGGAGGGAAAGAGGGAGAGAAATTGATTGATTGGTTTTTCACCTTGCTGTCTGATTCTCAAAATGCTGTCAACAACCAAGGTTGGTCCAGGCCAGTTCAGGTTTCCCGCGTGGTTGACAGGGACCATCACCTGCTTCCTCGAGAGTGGTGCTCAGCAGGGAGCTGGAACCAGGGATGGAGCCGTGGTGACTCCGCCCAGTCTGTCTGATACCGGACGTGGGTGTTGGAACTGGCATCCAGCCAGGTGGCCCCACTCTCACCCCAGTCTGTCTGCCAATTGTTGCCCTGTTCCACCGTCTTGCATTAGCTATGAACTCTGTTACAATGGTGAAAACAAGTGGTGAGCGGGGACCGCTTTGCTTCTACTTTTTCATAATTAGGTTTGCTGTTAACTGTGGGCTTTCTGTAAATGATCTTTATCAAGTTAAGGAAGTTCATTTCCCCCTAGTTTGCTGACACCTTTTCTTTAATGTTATGTAAAGGGGTTAAGTTTTGTCAGATGCATTTTCTACATCTGTTGAGATGATTGTGTGATTTTTCTTTTTTCTTTTATTTATTTTATTGCAGTTATGCACTGCATTTATGGATTCTTCAATGGTAAACCAGCCCTACATACCTGGAGTTGTTGGCTTACATATGCGAACATCTTGTGGATTTTTGCCTCAATGTCCATGAGAAATGATGGTCTGTAGCTTTCCTTTCTTAAAGTGTGTTTGGTTTTGTGTGAAGGTAGTGCTGGTTTCACAGAATTAATTAGAGTTCCATCTGCTTCTGTACTCTAGGAGAGAATGGAGAAACGGGGTATGATATTTTCATCAGATGTGTGATAGGAGTCTCCAGCGGATCCATCTGGGCCTACTTAGTTCTATTTTCAAAGGTTGTTAGCAATTGACTCAGTAAGGTGTAGGGCTTTTAGAAACATTTTTTTTTTATTTTATATGAGTTTTGGAAGATTGTGTCTTTCAAGGAATTGGTCCATTTCATCTAAGTTACCAAACTAATAGACACAGAGTTGTTCGTAGACTCCCGTTATTTCCTGTTAGTGTTGATAGGTCTGTAGTGATACTCCATTTTTCATTTCTGGTGTTAGCAATTTGTGTCTTCCCCGTGTTTTTCTTAGCTTATCTGTAGGATCACCAGTTTTTATTATTATTAATTTATTCATTGATAGCTTCAAAACAGTAGCTTTTGGTTTCACTGGTTTTCTTTGTTGATTACACATTTTGAATTTCATTGATTTCTCCCATAATATGCAGTGGTTCTTTTCTTAAGAAAAATTTGGATGGAATTTGCTCTTTTTCTAGTTTCCAAAGGTAAAAGCTTAGATAATTGATTTTAGATCTTTCTTCTTTTCTAATGTATGCTTTAAATTGTTGTAAATTTCCAGTAAGTACTGCTTTTGCTGCATTCCACAAATTTTGAGTGTTGTATTTTGATTTTCATTAGTTCAAAGCATTCAAAATCTTCCTCTTGATGTTTCTTTTTTGACCTCCGTGTTATTTAGAAGCTTTTTGTTTAATATCCAAGAACTGGGGTGGAATCACCATGATTTTTTTATTATTGTTTCTGATTTATTTTCACTGTGGTAACAGCATATATTGAATGATTTCTCTCCATTTAAATGTGTGTTAGTGTGTGCTTATGGCTCAGGTTGTAGTCTGTCTTGGCATGTCTTCTGTGTGAGTTTGAGAAGAACGTGTGGTCTTTTGTTGGATAACGCATTCTGTAGATTCAGTGATACTCACTTAATTGCTGATGCTGTGAAGAGCAACTGTGTCCTTACTGGTGTTCCTTCTATCAGACCTATTTCCAAAAGATGAGCAAAAAGATGAAGGTCTCCAAACAAAATAGTAGGACACTATATTTCTTCTGAAATTATTTCAGTTTTATGTGTGATGCTTGCGTCTTTCGTGACTAGCAGCCCCTGTGTTGTTCTGCACTGCCTCCTTCTCTTCTCTGAAGCCTGCTCAGTGTGACCTTCATTCAGGTGTTCTCAGTGTCTTTTGTTAGTGCCTGCATGGTATGTCTTTCTGCATATCTTTACTTTTAATATATGTGTATGTCTTTTTATTTAAAGTAGATTTACTGTAGGTAACATATAGTTGGGTCTTTTTCTTAATGTCTTTCTATTTTAAAAGATTTACTTATTTGCATATTTGAAAGTTAGAGTGACATTGTGGGAAAGAGGATGGGAGGGAGAGAGAGACATCTTCTGTCTGCTGGTTCTCATCCCAGGTGGCTACAATGGCCTGGGTTGGGCCAGGCAAATGCCAAGAGCCTGGAACTCCATCCAGGTCTCTGAGTTGGGTGGCAGGAGCCAGGGCACTTGGGGTTTGGCTGTTTTTCCAGGCACATTACTAGGGAGCTGGATCTAAGTGGGACAGCTGGGACTGGAAGCAGTAAACATATCCGATGCCAGGGTCGTAGGCAGTGGCTTAGCGAGCCATGCCACAATGCTAGCCCCAGCAGTTTCTTGAATTGGTGTAATGAAACATATACATTTTAAAAAATATTTATTTATTTATTTGAAAGAGTTACACAGAGAGAAGGAGAGGCTGAGAGAGGTCTTCATGTGCTGGTCTACTCTCCAGTTGGCTGCAATGGCCAGAGCTGTGCCGATCCGTAGCCAGGAGCCTGGAGCTTCTTCCGGGTCTCCCACTCTGATGCAGGGGTCCAAGCACTTAGGCCATCTTCTACTGCTTTCTCAGGCCACAGCAGAAAGCTGGAATGAAAGTGGAGCAGCTGGACTCGAACCGGTGCCCATATGGGATGCCGGCACTGCAGGTGACAGTTTACTCTCTATGCCACAGTGCTGGCCCCGAAACCATATACATTTAAAGTACTTATTGGGGCTGCCACTGTGGTACAGTATGATTAATTCTCTGCCTGTGGCATTGGCATCCCATAGGGACCCCAGTTCTAATCCTGGCTGTTCTTCTTCCAGTCCAGCTCTCTGCTTTGGTCTGGGAAAGCAGTGGAAAAATATAAATAAAAAAAGTACTGGCACTGTGGCGTAGTGCATAAAGCTACCTCCTGCAATGCCAGCATCCCATATAGGCACCAGTTCAAGTCCCGGCCGCTCTACTTCTGATCCAGCTCTCTGCTATGGCCTGGGAAAGCAGTAGAAGATGGTTCATGTCTTCTGGCTGGTGCACCTTAGTGGGGAACCCAGAGGAAGCTCCTAGCTCCTTGCGTCAGATCAGCGTAGCTCTGGCAATTACCGCCAACTGGGCAGTGAACCAGCAGATGGAAGAACTCTATGTCTCTGCCTCTCTTTCTGTCTCTGTGTAACTCTGCCTTTCAAATAAATAAATAAATCTTAAAAAAAGTAAAGTACTTATTAAGGGCTAATGTGGTGCAGCAGGTTAAACTGCCACCTGAGATGCCAGCATCCCATGTGGGTGCCAGTCTGAGTCCCAGCTGCTGCACTGACCAGCTTGCTGCTCATGTGCCTGGGAAAGCAGTGGAAGATGGAGGCAGCGGAAGGTAAACCAAGTCCCTGGGCCCCTGCAGCCATGTGGGCTAGCAGGTGGAGTTGGAGGCTCCTGGCTCTGGCTTGTCCCAGACCTGGTTGTTGTAGCTGTTTGAGGAGTGAACCCGCAGATGGAAGATCTTCTCTCTGTATCTACCTCTGTCCCTTTAAAAACGGGTCATTAATATCATTAGATTACTACATACTATTTCCTTTTGTTTCAAACATTTATTTATTTGAAGGAGTTATGGGGGATGTTTGTGTGTGTGTGTGTGTGTGTGTGGGAGAGAGAGAGAGAGAGAGAGAGATTGATTGATCTTCCATCCACTGGTACACTGTCCAGATGGCCTCAATGGACAGGGCTGGGAGCGGGGAGCCAAGATCATCTTCTGGTCTCCTACATAGGTAGGAGGGCCCAAGCACTTGGGCCATTTTCTACTGCTTTCCCAGGTGTGTTAGCAGAGAACTGGATCAGAAATGTATCAACCGGACACAAACCAGTGCCATATGGGATGCCGCTGTCACAGCGGCAGCTTTACCTGCTCTGTCACAGGGTGGCTCCCACTACCTACCATTTTCACTATTTTTTTATTCATTGCCCTTATTCTTTGTTCCTGTTTTATCTTCTACTCTTTTTTCTGCCGTTTGTGATTTAAATTTAGCATTTTATATGATTGAATTTATCTCCTTTCATAACATTTCAGGTATATTTCTTAAAGCCTTTTAAAAATGATTTTTTGCATAGACTTTTCAACATAAATTTGCAGCGAGCCTAAGCCCACAGTTAGTCTAAGCACTGTACTGCTTCACAGGTAGTCCGAATCCTTGATGATAATGAGGGATCCTTTTCCTCCCTTTGTCATTCATTTCACATAGATAAAGGTCAGACATGAAATATATTGCTGTTAGGATTCTGAAGAACTATTATCTGGTTGATCATTTAAGAATAAGAAAAATAACCTTTTATTTACCCCATTTATTCCTTCTGATTATTCTTTCTTTATTTAGGTCGCTCCAAGCTTCCGATGGTCTTAAGGCTCTTCTGGGAGACAGAACCAGTGTTCTCGAATCCTCTGTGCTATCTTCAGCTTCTCTGGGGTAATATTTGCTGGTATTGTTTTTGCATTTCATTTTTTTCTGTTGAGTGTACCACATTGTGACTCTTTTGATGGGACTGTCACAGTGAGCACACGGCAAGTTATGTCTCTTTTATTCATCTGCCATGTCTTTTCATCCATTTAGTAAATTACTGTCCCTAATGTACCTTGATTTGTTTCTAAAACAGCTCCGGAGGAGCTGTCCATGAGAGACAGGCTGCTGTACTTGAGAGGGGAGAGTGGAGTTGTAGGGATGGCCTTGAATGGTGGTTTGCCTGAGAAGGAAGGAGTGAGTAACGGCAGAGTGAAAGGTTTTAGGGCTGGCTGTTTGAAGAGTCTCAGTGGCTCTTGGACCCAGAGGCTGTCCCTGGTCCTCTGGGGCTGGCCCTGGGTCCTGAGTGCAGGTGGACTGTGGCCCTCAGTCAGTACGCACCCCATGTAGGAGGTGCTGAGTGTGTGTGCTCTGGTAGGTTTGCATTTGAAACACCTTCCTCAGTGAGCTGTTGACATCTGTCTGGGATGAGGCCCACCCTGGGAGGTGCATATCCTCCAGCAGCAGTGAGGCCCCAGACCTCAGAGCCCCGCAATACAGAAAATAAAGAACATGGAAGCTACTCTACGTTTTGCTCTTTATTGTCTTTGCCTTAAGTTATTGTTTGATTATCTCATTATTCTTTTTGACTCTTTCCCCATAGTTTTGAAAATTGCATATTCTATGTCTTTTTACTGGTTAGCTTTAAAATATTTACCCCGCTTCTTAAAATAAAAATCTCGACCAAATACCTGAATCCCTCCCTAGACATCACATTCTCTCTGGCCCAGCTTCGCCTGTGCTTGTCCAGGGCTTGTCTCCAGCCGCTCTGTTGCTGTGGCTCTGCCCCGTGTTGCCCAGCCTTGTTGCTTGCTGCTCGCTCCCGCACTGTGATTGCAGCTCACTTCAGTTAAGTAGTGCCAGCCCAGAGAGGCATTCCAAAGACCCTTCTGTTAAGGATTCCTCTTTGCTTTCTTTTGAAGGACCAGGAAGATGTTTCAGAGTAGCTGAGCTGCTCTCTTGTTGAAGTCCCAGCCTTCAAAAGTTAGATTTCCTCTAGCAGAAAGATCAGGGATCGCTAGAACGAATTATTTTCCAATCCAGAAAATTGGCAGATTAATAAGCAGCTGTGTCAACAGCATTAGCCCCAGGTTCACACCTTTGACTGACAGTACATTTCATCTGAATTTTCCCTTGCTTTATCACTCATGGTGAGTCCCATATGCATCCACTGCACCCTGCACCAGTGCAGGTGAAGAAGAGTCTAGAACAGAACAGAACATCCAAACCGTAGCACGTGAAGTGTGTGACCGTGGACCTGAAGTGGGCATCTTCAAGAACGACAGGTATGCCGCAATCCCTGACGCTGTCCACTTGCACTCCTCTGCTCCTCTCTCTCCAGCCTCCATCTGATGACTTTGCTCTCCCTGATGCTGAGAGGATGAACACTGCCAGCGGGGACCTTCTGCAGCCGACACCGACGGTTACGTCTGCCTCCTCCCCTGCTGCTGTCCGCACCCGGGCCTTGGCTCCTGGAATGGTGGGTGCACTGCCCCTCCTGCTGGCCAGGCCACGTCCCCTCATTGCCAGTTGTGAAGACAGAAAATCTCTCTATGGTCTCCTACATCTTTAAATTTCCCTTCTTCATTTGAAGATATAGTTATAGCTCTTATTTATATAAACCTAAAAGGATCGTTTTAAAGAGTAAACTTAAGCAGCAGCTATCTGGCCTTGCTTTGCTCTCCAAGACAATTTCTCTACCCTTCCCTTTTATGGAACTCTGAAAAACATTGCTTCCCATGCTTGCCTACGTATTTTCCCAGACCCCTCCAGTTGAACGTGGCTGCCACCATTTAAGCACAGCACTCTGTCCTGCTTCCAGCACTCGTGTCCTGTGCGTGCATACCTCTGAGTCTTCGCTTCCGTCGCGTTTCACAGGGCTTTGCTCTGACCTTCACTTTCCTCATCTTATCCTAACTCTCGGACTGTTCTTGTTAGGCCTTGTTTTCTGCTTTGTCCTGTTTTCAACACAACATCTAGAATCTGAGGTAAATAAATCCGTCTTTATTAAGACATCCAGTTGGCTTTCTCTACCAGCTGTTCATGTAACCTTAGCAATATCACTCTTGTAACTTACATTGGACGTTGCCTTGAACTTCAGATTCTCATGTGCGGCTGCCTACCGTGCAGCGTAACTTGGAGCCTAGGAGGTGAGTTAGACTATTCCGGAGAGGAGCTCAGGGCGTCCTTCCATTGGTTTGTGCCACTCCTCTTCATGATGCTTGATGTCACTGTTGTTTCTTGATATTGTAATAGGAATCTCCTACCTGGATGCCCACATGATGTGACCCACAGGTACATACTGATGGCCCTTGAACCTTGTGTTGATTCTAACCAACTGTTTGCCTTTCCTTGAGGACCTCAGACACCATTTACCAGTGGGTACTCTCCTTATTGGTAGAAAATTGTGTCTCTAAAACTTTTCTGTTAGATCACCAGCACCTAGCACAGTGCGTAACACGCTGGTCTTTAGATGAGTGGACAGCAGGAAGGCAGTGCATTTATTTGAAATTTATTGAGAGGAAAGACTTGTGAGAGGGTTGTTAATGCCATTACTGACTTTATTTTTAAAATGTTTTATTAATGTAAAGAGAACAGATTTTATGTGCTCTATAGGTACAGTTCCAACAAGATGACCACACTCCCTCACTCCCCCGCTCCCCCACCCATTCCTTCCTCCCCTCTCCTCATCTGTTTTTGCAAGGACAGAATTTTAATCCACTCTATGTTCACATGCTTAATTTGCCACTAATAATAATATTCAGCAAGTAAAACATGGGAAGGCCGCAGTTCCACAAGAGTATAAGCATGAGACAAAAGTGACAATCGTATCCAAAGTGACACTTTTATTTCTGTATTTATTTATTTTTTGGTATTCCATATTAGCTGCCACATATCAGAGAAAATATATTTTTGTTCTTTTGAGACTGACTTATTTCACTAAATATAATGGTTTCCAGTTGCATTCTTTTTTTTTTTTTCCGCAAAAGAGAGGACTTCATTCTTTGTTATGGCTGAGATGTAGTCCATTGTGTATATATACATATATGTGTTTTAGCTGTTGTGAATTGAGCTACAGGAAACATGGGGTATAAATAACACTTTCACGTGCTGATTTCATTCCCTTTGGGTCGATTCCCAGGAGTGACGTGGCTTGGTCACATGGTAGATCTGTGTTCAGCATTCTGAGGTATCTCTGTACTGTCTTCCTTAATGATTGGTCTAGTTTACATGCCCATCAGTAGTAAATTCGGGTACCTTTTTCCCACGTCCTCGCCAGCATTTATTGTTTTCTGATTTGGGATGATAGCCGTGGCAACTGAGGTGCAGGTGCTCCACCCTCAGCCCTGCGATCCTGCCCTGATTTGGGATGATCGCCGTGGTACCTGAGGTGCAGGTGCTCCACCCTCAGCCCTGCGATCCTGCCCTGATTTGGGATGATCGCCGTGGTACCTGAGGTGCAGGTGCTCCACCCTCAGCCCTGCGATCCTGCCCTGACTTGGGATGATCGCCGTGGTACCTGAGGTGCAGGTGCTCCACCCTCAGCCCTGCACAGGTATTTCCAGGGCCGCTGCCTGTGAGTGCTCTGCTTTGGCAGTTTAAGCCTCAGAGCCTGTGGCCGCCTGGGGGATCAGGACGCCGCCCAGTCCTGATTGGGGGCCCAGCCCCCTGCAACCCTGCTAGCTGGACTCCGAGTCGGTGGGGACACGGGCCTTCCCTCTGGTGAAACCCCGGTTGTGTGCGCAAGAGCTGCCGTACCCTCTCCTGGGGTCACGATGGTGTCTTCACCCTGCCGGTCACTGGTGCCCTTTTAGGGGGAGGAGGAAAAAGAAATGTGGGTTAGGTGGGCACCCTGCCCCCTGCTAGGGCTCCAGGCCAGACTCAGAGTCAGTGAGGTCTGTGAGGGTCTTCCTCAGGGACATGACCTGCGGCACAGGCTGCTCTCAGAAGCTGTGTCCCCCCAGCCCCTGGCTGTGGGAGTCGTGGTCGGTGTCCCCACTCACTGCTGGGGTCTGCACTTTCCACACGGCTCACAGCTCCCTCTTCTTTCTTGAGAATTTCCGCTCTAAGTTTCTTTCCAGCTCTCCCTCTGGGAGTGCGCTTCCTACACTTCTCTTCTGTTATCGTCCACTGTCAAAGTCAACACTTCTCTTTTCCCTATTCAGCCAGCTTGCAGTGTCTTGCCTTTGCTGTCTTTAAACTGGAGTTCTTTCAGGATGCAGAGCTTCTGTGTCAGAGACCACATTCACTTTCTTTAAATTTGTGTACAAGTTACACTGAGTGTGAGGCCCACCCCTTACTATCTACATGTATTTTTTAAGAAATCCTCAAAAAAGATACTGACAAACTTCTTCTGCACCTGTCTTTCTGCTTAACTGAGAACATCAGGAAGCAGAGCCCCCTGATTCCCAGGTCTCTGACAGCATGGGAGTCCACACAAGGTGAAATGCATGGTTTGTTTCTGCTGTGAAAAAATGGAGAAGAGTTAGCTGGGATGAATTTGTGGTCCCCAGTGCAAATCCATTTGGGCAAAATTTTCTCTTAAGTATTTATGTATTTATTTGAAAGTCAGAGTTACAGAGAGAGGAGGAGAGGCAGAGAGGGAGGTCTACCATCTGCTGGTTCACTTCCCAACTGGCCACAATGGCTGGAGCTGTGCGGATCCGAAGAAGCCAGGAGCCAGGAGCCTCCTCCAGGTCTCCCATGCGAACATAACTTTAATGTTTTAAAATCTTTGGGTCTTATTCAGTTTGGTTCTTTGATACTGTTTTACAGTCTTATATATGTTAGACAAACTCCGCATTTAGAAATGTGCTGCTAAAATAGGCGCATCCAGTATTGCTGAAAGGATAGTTACGTTTCAGCTTACTCAAGGGCAGTGTTGAAGAGCATGTCTGTCTGCCCACTCTGCGAGCACCCTTGGTGTTCAGGTGATTCTGGCATTATTTCTCTTGGCAGAGATGTTTGTTATGAATGCCAGACTCTGTTTCTCTTACTGCTGTTCACATTGAGTTCGGTGGCTTGTTGGCCTAACCAGGATATAATAATTTCATAATATTTTCATAGGGCAAATTCCAGCAGCGTGACATTCAGTGCTGCAAGCCATAAATTAAGAATAACATTATCAACGTAGTTACCATCCTCAGGGTAGAACTGGCTAAATGCACAGCTTCTGTCGTCATCTGGAGGGGCTGGAGTTGCACCTCCAGTCTTTGCTGTCTGCTTAATCTTGGGCATGTGAGAGCAATGCTCCAAGGCACGCACAGGTGATTTCAATTTATGGATGAAGATGACAGGTGCGCCTAATTCATGTTGTTCTGATAGCTAAATGAGAAATTATATGCAGATAAGTCAGTGTATCTACACACCCTGGCACACTGCCCAGTAACCAACGCTTATCTTCTTACTAGGTTTTCCTTGACTGTTAGAAGACGCAAAACCACACCCCAAAGTGATTAAAATAGAGAATATGCTTAACAATTCTTAGGAGACATGAGAGTTATCTTCATGTGTCCCGTAGGTTGCTTTGAGGATGGAGCATCAGGCCTAATCTGTGCAGTTCCCGGGAGGACAGTAAGCGGTGCGGTGGGAGAAGTACTGGACATGCATGTGGAGCGGTGCAGGAGGTGGGGGATTGGCTCCCCGTGATGCCCGTGGCCCACCGTTGTCTCCTGTGCATTTCTGTGTCCATAGCTAGGCCATTGGATTGTAGATAACATGCATGTTGTGGAGCAGCTGACCCTAAGATAGGGCAGTTGTCTGGAATTCTGCAGATAGTCTTAACATATCACAAGGGGCCCTGACCCTGGAGGGCTGGCCTAGCAATCAGTGTGAGGGTTACGTGCTGCGAGAGCCCCAGAGGGCCTGGGGGCCTCTGGAGATGCAGGGCTCTGCGGCAGAGGAGTCCAGTGGGCTTCAGAAGCCAGAGAGACAAGGTGGGTTTTCCTGGGAACCTGCAGAAGTGACGCTGCCCAGAGGGCACCTGGAGTCGAGCCCAGTGAGAACCGCTGCGGTCTCTGCCCACCCAGACTCTGGACTGACACGTTGGTGGTGTTGCACACTTGACGCTGGGTAAGCGGCTGCGGCAGCCACGGAAAGCAGATACCAAGAGCAACCCAGAACGTGCACTGTGAAATACAGGAGGTAACTATTTGCCGAAAGCCACCAGTTCAGAGAGTGGGTCTCCATGCTGGGGGAAAGGCATCTGAAGCCAGGCCTCATGAACCCCTGTGCAGTGGTGGGATTCCGTGAAGCTGAGGTGGGCTGAGCAGAGTGGGTGCTGAGATGAGAGAGAGGCGTCTGTGACAGGCGGGTTCAGCTGTTTTTCTTGGAATTTCAAATGGAGCTGTGCTGATGGACTGTGCTGTGACCATCTACAAAGCCAGTGTGCCTGCCTGCCAGGGTCTCGTACTCCGCGCACCCTCAACCTTGCACATGGCGAGAACCCTGCACTCTCCCGATGGAGAGCTTAGTCTTCAG